CAATGTGTTTTGCAACCGTGCAAGATTTGTATTCTTTGGAAACCTCTTTTACATTTTCATTTCTGTGCTATTATGTGAATGAAGTTGTACGAGTTGGGCATGTTGTACTTTTTATGAGTTAAATATGTCTGAATGTTTTGTATGAGTTGAAAATGACACCATATGTTAGATTATGAGTTAAACATGGTGTTTGAATAACTAGGGTGAGTTGAACATGACGTTTGAATATTTAGGGTGAGTTGAACATGATGTTTGAATATTGAGGGTGAGTTGAACATGATATTTACCTTTGTACTGGTAGAATAAATTTGAATATTTGTATCAAATGAATATATTGGAATAGTTTGTATCAAATGAATATATTGGAATATTTGTATCAAATGAATATATTGAAATAGCTTGTATCAAATGAATATATTGAAATAGTTTGTATCAAATGAATATATTGAAATAGCTTGTATCAAATGAATATATTGAAATAGTTTGTATCAAATGAATATATTAGTATAGTTTGTATCAAATGAATATATTGAAATAGCTTGTATCAAATGAATATATTAGTATAGTTTGTATCAAATGAATATATTGAAATAGCTTGTATCAAATGAATATATTAGTATAGTTTGTATCAAATGAATATATTGGAATAGCTTGTATCAAATGAATATATTGAAATAGTTTGTATCAAATGAATATATTGGAATATTTGGTATCAAATGAATATATTGAAATAGCTTGTATCAAATGAATATATTGGAATATTTGTATCAAATGAATATATTGAAATAGCTTGTATCAAATGAATATATTGAAATAGTTTGTATCAAATGAATATATAGAAATAGCTTGTATCAAATGAATATATTGGAATATTTGTATCAAATGAATATATTAGAATATTTTGTACTAGTTGTACATGATGCAATTAAGATGAACATAATGATATTTTGTTTGATATCGAAGTTATTACACGACAAATAAAATCGAATGAACTCTGGTATTGGCGTGCATGTTTTTATGGTGTGTTATTTATTTGACCGAAATGGAATTTAGATGACTGGAATACGATTTTAACACATATGACATTGAGTATAAATTCATCGGTTGAGTTATATAACTGGTATCACTTTAGTACCACATGATTCCGTGACTGGTATTTGTATAACGAGATAGAGAGACCTAGAAAGGTCGAAATGGTCTTTGTTCTGACACCATACACACGCACACCAGAGGCGACAAATGCCACATGCCTAGCCATGACAGTCGGATGGTAATTCAACTTTTGTTCTTTTGCACTTGATGATCCTGAAGACGTATAATCGATAGTTATAACCTTATCAGGACTCCCCAGGGGGAAGCCTCAGGGAGGAGGAGTCACGCCGCAACGCTATGTGCCCGCGTATGGCAAGTCGGCAAGGAGAATCCAATAGAGTTAAAACGACGCATCTTCTGTAATAATGGAACATTAAATCCATATTATCCAAAGTTGTATACAGGCGCATTTATTCGTACTCCAAAGCAAGTCACACGGAAGCGGAGGACAGAGGGTCGTATACATAAAGGGTGTTAAGAAAAATTAATCTGATATTTCAACATTAATATCACTATGCTCAATTTATACTTTTGGTCCATCAAAAATACACAAGGGAATATATATTGAGAATGATATGTGAAATATGTTATTGAAAGGTAGAAACCTAATAGCTTAGATATTTTTAAAAAAAAAGTCAATAAGGCTTTGAGGCACAATTTTAGGACACTAAAATAAAAAGCGATAAGAAAAAAATGCACGGTAAATGATCTTTCTCGATGTACTTTATTCTAATAATGAAAACTGGTTAATTTATATGTAAATACAGCTGCATGCTTTCACAACATGGAAAGGAAAACTGTTCAATATCGCATGATATACAATACACACGCAGTACTACATGAACATTGGAACGTAAGAATAGAACTCCCGCTTCTGTTTCCTTTGTATCAAATAGCCAGAATTTGCTTCGTGTAAAACGGAAATAGAGATAATTTTCAGAAATATATTATGTATTCTGTTTCCTTTGTAAACAAGTCTCGTAAAATAAGATTAATAATAAATGGGTTTCAACCAAAGCGTTTTCTTTTGTTGTGTTGAAAATTCATTTACCCTTCATGAGGTGCTAAACCTTTGGGACAGTTTAGATTCCTTCATTTGTAATTATATTATTCTTTTTATCGACTATACATGGAAATATATCAAACAATCAGAATGTAAAACTGGTCCACTATTTCGACTTGTATTGTTTGTATACAAGAAAGATAGAAGAATAATTTCTGTGTTTTTTGTTTTTTGTTTTTCATGATTATCAAAATGACTTGATGTAACAGACCCATCGGACAAGTGTTACATCAGGGAAGCCGTAATATATATGATCATTGATTATCTATCAAAGGTCGATTTATCATAATATTAAAGGAAAATAATTTCAGAAAGTCGTGCTAACGCAATTGATTAAAAAACAAAACCAACACACACACACACACACACACACACACACACACACACACGCACGCACTCACTCACAAAATAATAAAAAAAACACAAAAAACACAAGCTTTAAATATAGCAAAATACAATTTCAATATACAATGGACTGGAGTATAGAGTTCCATACTTCGCTGGAATGCTGTAGATAAGAATCAAATCGAAGAAATCATTGTCATAATAATCATCAGCATTTAATGATATATCTACAGTCGCCGGTGTTAGATATATAACTACAGGCAAAACACTAGGGGGTCGAAACAATGGATAGCAAACATTTATCACTATTAGTAGAGAAGTATAATCGGTATTTCATGTATTTGTATATAATTGGAACTGAAGAAAGGTAGTAAAGATATATAATACAAATGAAATGCAAAGAGCTGCTCTTCCTGGTAACGAAAGCTTCCATAATCGTACTATTGTAATCAGTAATCACATTTGTTATCATTATACCTAAACCGAGTTACGCTGAGGGAAATCTTTATTATTTAATTAAAGTTATACATATGACAATCCTTTGTTTTTCTTATCATACTTAAATGAGCAAGTCTTTGGCAGATCTAATTCACTCCACTGAAGTTTTAGGGAAGATCGTTAATACAAACAAAAAATGATGAACACGATTTTCATTCTTAATTATCTGACTTAAGTTATAAAGATAAATGACGCTTTTAGGGGAAATCTTAATTGTCTCACTACAGCTCTAGGGCACTCCCTTCTATATACCGAAAATTCACTACAACTATAGTTAATTACCTTACTACAATTATAGTGCGATCACTATTACAATACTAAAAATGAGCTTCACTCGAGCAAATTTTAATTGCTTCACTTCAGTTATAGTCCATTCATCATATCCTACAAATGGGTGGGTGAGGGGGAGGGGAGCTGATCGTGATTGCCCTATAACCGCTATATATAGCGTGTTTATTACTACGGTACCAAAAAGTGAGTTACGTGTGGGCAAAATCTGAATTATTCCACTGAAGGTATAGAGTCCTCGTTATTACGATACCAAAACGTGAGTTACACTCTGACAAATCTGTATTATTCCATTGTTGTAAAACATATCAAGAACATTTATTATCATAACACCAAAAATGAGCAACTCTCGAGCAAATATAACTTATCCAAGTAAATTTAAACTTAACAAGAAATATGACTATTACGTTTTCTCTGAAAGGCGTTTTTGTTTACGTTAAACTTGTTCGCTGAAAACATACTGATATGACAACTGTAAGATAATGAATTTTCGCGTATGTTTTTAAAAAGATTTTCGTTGAATTCGTGGCTACTTTAAATCCACAAATTTTCAGGTCCACGAACATAAAAATTGACATGACCTTGTGGATTTTATGAGGAAACCTTATCCACGAAAACAAGTGTCATCAAATCTGCATATTTTAGTAAAACAAAAGAATTTTGAGTCCCACAGATATATATGAGTTTACAGTACTTGGAAGATAACTGGTCGAGTATGTCTCATTGAAAGTTTTGTCACACATGGATTAACACAAGGATAATTGACTATGGACTATGATTTTGAGATGCAGTATTCCTTGAACAAATGTTATCTAAGTAAGCGGTGTGATAACTGATGTCACGTCCTTTGTCATCAAACATTGTAATTAACCGAAAAAGATATCATAACCAGTTTACCTTCTTCAAGAATTTTTGTAAAAAATATTTACTTAATTAAATAGTTTCTTTAAAATGCTTAACCAAGTCGATAAGAGCTTTAGAATTGTAAAAATTCAACATCGGTAACACATGTCTTCTATGGTTATAAGTGTAGCGGATTAATTTTTTGACATGCATGGTTTCAACTGTGACTTTCAATAACCAGCGTATTCGAGTTCTTTTGAAAAAGTTATGCCATTGTAAAGTAGTATATCACCTTTAGACAAGTTAAGAAAATTCTCAAGTCATTTATCAGAACCTATTCCATCACACAAACATCACCACATAGAAAGAAATCTGAAGGCAAAAACAGTGTACAATGAATTCAGCATGCAAATCCGAAAGATCTATATGAATTTGACGAGGCCCAACACTAGTGTTGCTTTGTGCTAGGGCTAAAAAATCAATAAAACATTGCCTTTGTTTTCGAATCAAAATTTATTGGTGTTGAAACGTTTTCAAGACGCAGTTTACCTTGGTTCAAGCTTCAGTGTGATACAGAATCATGGCATACACGTGATCTCTTCGTTGTATAAATTGATCGGTATCCCCCAAACTGTAAGACCTGATTGCTCTAGCGTAATTTTCTGTCATGACATATGAGCAGTATTAACTGTTTTGACACAAATTGGCCTTATTCAATAAAGCCCTTCCAATAATGTACGAGTAATACAGTTTGGACTATCGCAACGATCATTTGCAATTAACTGTATTTCCAAACAGACAAAAATTACGTTTATTAACGTTATAACAAGCATAATTTTACAACACGCAAATAATTTCAAGTTTACCAGTCTTATTCTAGAGGGATTGCCTCGTGACCATAATTGGAATTGTTTGACGATTTTAAATCTCGCCTCCGCTTAAAAGAGCTATTACTGAAAATGTAAACAAAAGGACTTATACCAACTTGTGAGTAGGTTAGCCATGCTGAGATTGTGACGTACAGTGATGAAATAGATTTCTCCTTACCAAAGATACTGATATACGCTTGCAACAAGTACGGTATCCATAGCGAGTACATCGCAACTGTTACAATAAAAAACGTTCGACACAAGTGCTCGTTTTTCCTCGTGCGTAAATTCACAACACGTCCCGTTGTTTGATTAAGGTTCTGAGTTATGGTAGGCATTTGCGCGGGTGGTCCCACTGGCATTCCGTTCAACCAATTTATCACAACTTGTGCGTTTGCTCCGGGTCCAAAAAATGTCCAATTGTTGCTCCGAGGCGGTTCGCGGAATAGCGGTCTCATTTTTCTATGATCACGAAGGAATATAAATATCCTAACGTACAAAAACATTGTTGCTACAATAACTCCCGAAAAGACCAGAACGAATCCTAAAGTATCGTTCATTCGATATCGCTTATGTTTAAACGCACATTGTGATTCTTCCGGAATGTATCGATAAGTACCCATTCCAAACACTGGAGGGAAAGATACAGCAAATGATACTAGCCAACCTAATATCACGATAGCCAAGTTGAGTAATCCCTGTGATCGCCGGCGATGGAAATGGGAATACACTATAGCTAAATGTCTATCAACGACGATCGCCATTAACGACACTGCTGAACTAAACACGAAAAACGTGTTTGCAAAAGCTAAAAGGGTACAGGCGGAATCACCGTGACGCCAAACTGATCCTTGCGCGACCGAAGCCAAAACAAACGGCAAACAAAACACAGCTCTGGACAGATCCGAAATTGATTGACTTATTAGATAGTAGAATGGAGGTTTGTGAAATCTTTTGTTGCTGACGACAGAGTAGATAACCATTACATTACCAAATATCCCCATTACAATAATGATAGAAAGAACGACAACTTTGATCACAGTCTCGCTTTTCATGCCGCTTTCCTCCTTAAGTGTGATGGAGGATCCTAATGATGATTGTGGAACCATGGCCTTGTAGGTTTTCACTGTATCCTGTGTTATCTCAGAAATTGTCGAGTTCACGGCGTATATTACAGAAGAATTCATCACGAACAGAAACGTGTAGTTTTCGATACTGTATACTTGACACGTAAGTTATAAAAATATGAAAAAGCACCGTTTTTAACGACGATACAATTCCCTTTGAAGTCTTTCATGTCATATACATCAAATATGTAGTATTGCATCCGAAAGAGTAGTTCTGACCAACGCTTCCATACCCTTAGTCATTGTGTAATCCGTTTTGCTCTAAATTTGATATCGGTAGAAACATTTAAGCACACAGCACATAAACTCCGTACAAAATCAAAGTCACTCCATATTTTCTTAATATTTCAACAAGAGATTAATTATTTAGAGGCCACAACATTGAATGACCTACGTGTTTAGTTGAGAAACAGCTTAAAACAACACATTTGGCATTCTTTCCACGACTAGCGGCATTCCATCGCTCTGCATTATTACGTGATTGGAAATAGGTGTTTTCCGCAGATGATCACATTTTTCACAGGAACGCAATTTCATCAAGATAAAATTTTGTTCTCTACATGGAATGGGCAAAACTACGAAATATTGAAACGATGTTTTGAGTAAAGGAAATAATATTTCGGATGAAACAAATTTGTAGTTATTCAAAATCAAGGTAAATGAATGCTTTTGCATATATACCTTGTGTAATTGTTGAACGAATGTAGCATTTCCATCTATATAGTTCACATTTTCGTCAGTTGATATTTTTTCAATCCTTCAAGTCAGTACCAGTTTCATAACTTTTATCACGATATAAAATCTCTATTCATAAATCGGATTTTATGATAACATACCTGTAATGACATCAATATATTCTCCCGTTTTCACATTTCCCGTTGATGAAGTAATTTAAAGTATGCCATCTCCAGAGAGCCGAGCAACACCAATGCTAAATAGTTCCCATTGTCAGTGCATGGTGTTGTATCAGACAACTCCAGTGCAATGTTTCCTCCCACTACTTTTACGTACTCCAACCTTCACATAGCGACAGCTTCAAGACCTCTGCCAGTCAGAACGGCAGCCACCATTTGTACGGGTCTATGAACACTTTTTTTGTGACACTTTAAGGTCCAAATGCGTGACAATGACCAGAAATGTGGAAGTTTTCCATAGCTGCAAGACAGAATAAGAGGGTAAGAAAATGATGAGTTTTCCGTATTTTCTATTCCTGTTTTCTATTTTCATTCATGAGCGCTGATGAACGGCACGCACGCGGGCGACTGTGATACCAAGTCTGCTCTGATGATGAGCAGCCTTGTAAATAGCGGGCCAATCCACATCAATACAGCCCACCTCTGTTCTAGAAGCCATAAAAAACGTATTGCAGGGGCACTAATGCCTTGTTTTCAATTTTGTTTTCTGTTACCAACACAACTGATTGGAAGGCAATAAATTACAATATTTCAAATCCTAGAAAAATTCGCTTCATAAACAGGATAGGGGTTGTTTGTTTCCGTGTTTACATGTCATGCTGTTGTACATTTCACGGCTTGACATTCTCTTAGGAAATGTCGATTGCTAGAGATAACTGTTTGTTTTATGCAAAGGTTGAGCGCCGCCACACCACAACGGAGGAATATAACCATTTGACTGTTACAAACGGAATATTTGAGTACATATTCACTTGAAAGTGCACGTTCAGTTTGAAACACTGAGACGTTTCAGAAGAAGTTTTTACAACATTTTAATTTAAAAGTCAAGTATTGTTTCCAAGAATACACACGTGAATTACGATGAAGATCACAGCATCGATTGGCTGTCTAAGTGTGGAATACTTGAGTGTACTTATTGTGTCCCATGAGTGTTATAGTAACAATTTTGTCTAATGAAATTTCAGTGTATAGTTTTCTCGTTGTTACAGACGTAATCTCGATTGTATTCACAATGTCAGCTCATAGTCTACTGCTTGGCTTATTGTACTAGGTATTACATACGTGTGCGGAAATATTGTTTGAAGCTGACATTAATATTTATTTACGTTAATAACCATTTTTCTAGGAGAAAAGCAAAAGCGAAAAATGTGATCTTTTTCTGTTCTATTCGATCTATAATCGACGTGTGCACGTGATTTTCTTTTCAACTCGATGATAATCAAATCTAACAGGATGTAGCCATTCAGCGCTCGATTCCATTTCGATTTCCTAAATTGAATCTTGGAATGAGAAATGCAGCATCAGCCAATTACCGTCCGTCGTAAAGTCATTAGTATTCATATCGAGAACTTCGTCACAATCAGAGACAGCAGATAAAATGTCACTTTCAGTTTTAACACATCTTGACATGGAATGAGTCTGAGAAAAAATATTTTGCTCACTCCGTTTGAAATCTTCGTCCAATTAGGTTTGTTCACGGAATTGCATTTCCATTTTTTATTTTTTTTTAATTCCGATATTGATAACTGGCGGGAATTGTCGAGAACACCAAAGCCACGACTGGCAGGATGATTATTTTTCTGCAAATTTCCTATTACAAATGCCAAAGCAATTTAGCAAATTGTACTAACGAGAAACAAATAAACGGCATCTGAAATTCGTTGAAAAGAAATCCGCATGAACTGGTGTTGTATGGTTGTACGTAAATATGTAACAAACAATCAATGGTTGTCCTGATAGTAATGATCAGTCGTTCCTGTTATCATTCATATCTAGTTCACAACGGAGAGAGCTTTCCAAACAGAAGACTGAATGCACATAGGGTACATAGCAAAGGTTCAAATTCCTGATTGTTACGTAATTACAAAATGAACCACGGATTCAATAGTCATACAAAATCATTCCGCACGATAAAACACCTCTACGTCTGCACCTGGAATACTCCGCCGATGACGTATGTGCACATATAAGTCAGTGGTCCAGGAGAATAACATGTAGTTACCTGATGCCTTCATCAATAATAAACAACTCATTAGTCTTCTTCCTCTAAACTTACGTATATCTAAGTAACTGGCGAACACAATTGCGTGATTTCATCCATAAAAGTCAGTATGAGACTGGATAAGTAACTATCAGTTGTAATGCTTCATAAAGATTAATATCTGTAATTCATTATTAACATTAGGACTCCAGGCAAATTTTCCATTTTCTTTCATTGTCGATTTTGCCATTTTTATGACGACTTTTCATTGGTCCCTTGAGGATCCGTGCAAGTCTACTTTAGAATCATATAACTTCCGACATATCTACAAACACCTTGTCAGCATGCAAGCTTGTTGTAGACAGAAACACTGCTACCTTTCTCTTTTATTCCCTAACTCCATGCAAAATTCTCGTAGAGTCACGAATAATGTTAAAAATCAATAATGTTATCACAACGACATAAACCATATCTTCTCTTTCATATCTCAGAATGGACAGGACCACAACTGGTGGTCTATAGTGTAAAGTACAGAGTCTGATAAATCGTAACTGCTACGCTCACGTTAAAGAGATCACTATGAAACATCTCTGTAAACGACTCCATCTTTCAAAAGTCAATATATCATAATACATACGGGGCACATATGGGAGAGTAGCTGCCAGCACTGATGGCTTAAAGGAAGTATAGACTTATACCAACGGTTCGTTCTTAATATATTATTTGTAGATGGGAATTAACATTCTCTCCTTAGAGAAATACTAAAAGAAACTCTTGATAAGTTGCACATAAAGGTTATTTGCAAACATTTTTATTTACAATCTGCTTTCACGTAGTCGTTTTACAATATCCGTATCATGTATATTAGTTAAAAAATACATCAATAAGTGATTGCATGTAAACAGGAATTGGTAACAGATTAAAAGAAAATCAATTAAATTATCACTTTATTATAAGAATTTAAAATTTTCAAAAAAGGCACAACAGACACAAGAGAATAGCACTTTTGATAACAAAATTATGTTAGATATAAAGGGCGAGTCTTTTTGAGCTAAATATATATCACAAATATTGCTGCAAAAGTTGCGCTTTTTTAACAGACTGCATGAATTGCACGGTCTCCTATTAATGGTACTGATATTTATTCATTCACATCGAAATTAAAATTGCTCTCGCACATATCCATGAAATGAATTGAATTACGGGGCTAATATGCCATCCACTCTAGATTGTCCGATACTTTTTCAATCATTTTCGAATTTCCTCAGTCAAAAGTATGCCCTTCTCATCATTGACGAGTCTTAGAAGGGCAAAACAGCTGTATGGCTCATTTTCATTTATTCTATCTCATTATAATGCTCGGTTGTATATCTCTTGTAAATCTTTTTGTTATCATGAAACGTTCGTATATCTATATCAAATATTAAAAAATATATATATGTAAACAATACTAGAGTATGAATCGAAATTTATGTACAACGAATTCATGTATGCAGAAATAGTTGCAATAGACTAAAAACATTATTCGATAGCCTGGTGTATCTGTCCCAACTAAAGTTGTTAGAAATGGAGTCTCTTGAATACACTGAATGACATCATGACATTTGAACCTTTTATGATCAACAAAGTATCAATGAAACTATCCTGACTTGTAATGCAGCCGGATATTCTAGTGACGTATACATCCGATTATACACGCTTAGTGGATGTGTTTATTGATGAAATACGAGAAAAAAAATCCGACATCGTTCAATAACGTTGGCAAGGAAATGATATAACTCGTTAATTACAAAATCAGTGTTTAATACATTGGGCGAACGTGTCTGTCCAACAATAATCGTATCATATTGCATTAATAAAGCCTGCTTTATCTCATTTAATATCTTTTTATTGTTGCATTTTCACGCGAGAATCTGGGCCACCGGCGTAGCATTAGAAACCTCTGATCAGGTGTGCCTCAAGATCTACTGTAAAACAACACGACATTTTCCCGATTTGTATAGAACCTTAACTATTAGATGTTGTAAATGTATTTTTATTCTGGAGTTTGTACGGTCGCAATGGTAACCATAGCATCGTTACAGGTCAGCTTAATCTATTTTTAACACTGACTTCAAAATTAGAATTAGTGTATCATTCTGTAACGTTTGTAAATATGAACGCTC